TCTGATTGTAAGCGAGTTGATGGGCTGCACTGGAGGAGACCCTGGGTGGCAAACTTGCCACCTGTCCAGCAGAGAGGAGCAATCCAGTTTGTAAGGTTGTCTGGAGAATACACCTGTCCTCTTGTGCCTAATAATGAACATAATCAGATGGGAAAGGAAAACAAAACAAATGCCTGCTGTGTTCTCTGCCTTCCGCTGCAGCAGGCACTGTGCATACCAATGTCTCGTCAGAACAGCCACGTTTTGAGGGTGTTGCAGCCCTGTCTTGAGGAGAGGGGTGGGTTTGAAATGATGCCCCTGCAGAACTGCAGCCGCTCTTTTGTATGGGTAGACAGAGGCTGGGGTGGGGGACAGGAATGTGTTTGTTTCCATGTAGTGAGCTTGCCTTGCTTTGAATATATGGGCAAAATGTTCTGTTTGAACAAAAGGCCACCTCTGTCAGCGACCTGAGCGCGGTGTCGGAGGTTTGCGTGTCTTGGCAGGAGCTGTGGTAGCTCACAGAGGCCCTGTGGGCTACTTCTTGCTAGACCTGGCTTCTCTGCTGGCAGTGGGGAGGCTGCTCCTTTCACCCTTCACTTAACAGGCATTTAAAGTGCTGGCATCCTGCTCTGCTGGCACCGCTGCCGCGCCGGGGATGACGGCAGTGAGGAGCTGGAAGCAGGCTGAAGAGTGCTGGAGACCATGGAGATCCTCCTGCTGAGGTCCCTTGGGAACTGTGCTGTGCAGAGGGAGGAGACCATCTATTTTTTTGTCATCCTGCTTTCCTGTGGCCACAAGTCTGGCTTTGCATTGTCAGCGTGTGAGATCTCCTCTGTGGGACGCAGCCTGGCATTTCAGCAGGGCAGAAAACCAAGCAGCTTGAGATGCTGGGACTGCTGGGGATCCTGAGGCCACAGGAGGGACAAGGCTCTCTGGGAACTTCACAGACAAGACTTAAAATCAGGCCTTGTCCCCTGTGGGCAGGTGCTGTCTCCACCTTCTCCAATGCATTCAGAGATGCCTGCAGCCCGTGGTCTCTGGGGAGGACCTGCGTGGTCTGAGCCCATGCGTGGGCTGAGCAGCATCACTCTGTGACTGGATATCCCTGTTCCCTGGAAGATCTCATTCTCTGTTTGGCTGCTCTCCTTTCACAGGCAGCAGTGACAGCCCGTTTTGAGCCAGGAGATGTTTGCTGAGCTCCTCGGTTCTCAGGAATTGAAGTCATTATTTACACCGGGGCAGGAGGGAGGCTGGGATCAGGAGCTGCCTGGAAGAGCTCTGACCAGGCTGATGTGATGGAAGGTGACAGCACTTGCAGGGAATCCTTCTGCTGTTTGCTCCACTGAACATTTGCATAAATTACTGCTGTTTTAATTCTGTGGTGTTTTGGCCCTGCTCCACAGTACACTCCCACATGGCAAGGGCTGAGCTGCCCTGCTGTTTCAGTGATCCCCAAGAATTTGTGAATGGGCTACTCTTCTGGGGACCAGAAACCTCAGCAGGGAGGAGGAACCCTTACTGCTGTCTCACGGAGGGCTGGCAGCTTGGAGAGGGAAGTTCTTCCCCTCCCCAGGTGGACTGTGCAGTGCATGTTTGTGTGTGTGCCTGCTGCAGGGACAGAGGTGCCCGGTGGCTGGCAGGTAGGAGAAGGAGCAGCTGACTATTTCACATTCAAATATTTGCTGTTCATATTTCAAGGATTTGCTATGTCATAAATAAGCCACTTGAAGTCACCCAGGCTGTGTTTCCATGGGGAAACAGCAGCACCCAAAGTGGAGTGTTGTGGAGCGGGTAGTCAGCGATCCCTGGGTAGGTGTGCCCGTGTGTGTGCTGCCCACCACAATATATCCCTTGGCTTTGTGGCCACAGCACACTGGTTCACTTCCCTCTTTGTTCTAGGAGACTTTTTATTTTTGTCCTACACTTTTCAGGGAGTTTAGTGTTACTTGGATATCCAGGATGACATTCAGGGGAAAAAAACCCCAAAAAACAACCAGTCTGTGTCCAAAGTGCTGGGTGCTGGCAGGGGGTTCATCTTTTGTACTGAAAAAGCAGCTCCCAGACCACAACCTGGCACAGCCTGGAGAGCCGAGCTCCCAGGCCTCTCGGTTGTGATGTTGGAAGTGTTCCCACAAGGTATTCCCAAGAGGGTTTGAGACCCTTGGTTGCCTGTGGAAGGGGAGGCTGGCAGGTCAGCTGAACCTTCTGGAGCAGCCTGTGGATGCTCTCTGGTCCTTGGGCTGAGCACTGGACTGGAGAGGTGCTGCCCTTCAGCAGAACCACTCTGAGGTCCTGGGAGGCTTTGATGGTGAAGGAGCCAGCAAATTCCACACTGTTTGCTTTTACCTGCAGGCCCAGGAGCTGGGAGAAGAGGGAAAAGACCAAAGCAAAGCCAGTATAGAGGAGGAGCAAAGCAAGAGAACAAAAGCTGCTGAGAGGTATGGTACAAACGGAGCTACAGAGGAGGTGTGGACAGTTCTAGCTCCACATGACTTTCCTGTCCTGTCTGCCCCTGCTCTGGTCACTGTAACCTGTACAGGTGTCCCCTGTAGAACACCCTGAGATGCTGCAGCTTCTCACAGGGTCTTTCCCACTAAACCTCTCGCTTCTCCTGCCGCCTCCTCAGTACTGTCTCAGTAGACTTCAGCTTTGTTTCAGCTTGTGGCTTGGTAGGCAGCAAAACTGCCTGTCTTTCACTTCCTCCTGACTGCCCCAGATGTGGAGCTGGCTTCTGTTGCCCTTACAGATATCTGACTCTTCTCTAAGGCTGCCAAAGTCACGCTCTTGCCAAGATGCTCTGACCTGTTAACACCATGTATTGTGCCTTGTGGTGTTTAACCGTGGAGGACTTAGCCACTGGCCATTGCCACGTGACAGACCTTTCTGGTTCTGAGGTAGCCCCAGTCTCAGTCAGGGCTGGTCCTGCTGGGCTGCCAGCTCTTTCCTGGGCAGAGCTGGAAGCTGGAGGCTCACAGGGCCAGGCTGGTGCCTGTTACTGGTGGCAGGAGAGTCCAGCTGCAACGTGAGCAGTTCTCTGCCACTTCCTTCCATAGGGGTGGCCTAGAGCAAGTCACTGGTGACCAGGTGTGAGCATAAAGCTATTTTATATCCTGGTATGTGGACAACTCGCTCTAGAGTGCACCAGCTGTTACCCCAAGAGCAGTGCTGGCTTCCAGACCCTTAGTTACTGTGAGGACTAGACTGTCTTGGGAGCTATTTTCAGCCTGTTTGTGGTGATTTGTTTAAAACAGTTGAAATTCAGTGCTGAGCAGCGAGCTCCGTGCTCTCTCGAACCCCTCCCCTCCGCCTTCGAGAGCTGCAGCATGCGGCGTTTATAAATGAATTGTGTCAAAACTCTTAGCCTCTGCACGGAGTTACATATACTCTGGGGCACTGGCAACCAAGAAGCTGTTGCCAGGAAAACTTGTGAACAGAAGAAGCTGCAGTTCATCTTAATGACTGGCTGCACGCACTCCGGCTTCGCAGCCTTGTTCTTCGAGGAGCTGTTTGTGTGAAGGTCCCTGAAAACGTGTTCTGCCCGCAGGAATTGTCTCCTTATCACTTGGTACCCACTTCCCAGCTGCACATCCTCTCTCTCTCTCTGCCTGTAAAGCTGTCTCCTGCTTGCCTTGTCTCTGTACTTCCAAGATGAAGTAGGGCTGTAGATGTAAACGTGCCTGACAATGTTTCCATCTGTAATTTGGACAACAATGCGAGTATTGGTAATAGGGCTGATTTATCTGGGGAAGTTCTCCCAAGGACCTAATCCAGGGAAGGGATTCAGCATTTTGAGACTGATGCTTATTAAATCCTCATCTGCCTGTTGGGCTGGCAGAGCTTGAGCTGGTGGGAAAGGCTGGGAGCTTTGCTGTGCCTTTGGCAGCCCGGTGTAGGACGAGCGGGTCCCGTTGGCAGGCATGGCTCGGTGCCCATCGACGTCAGCTGCACATCCTGCCTGTCTTGTCTACCTGCAGCAGTCACTGGACTCTGATCTGTGCTAATCTGGTCTTCTCTTACCTCTTTTGTGCTGCAAAGTGAGAGGGATCAAAGCGCTTGTGCAACACCAGAGGAGAAGTGTTTTGCTGTAGAAAAGCCGGGTCAGGAGGAGGGACTGGAGGAGGCCGTGGCCCAGGAGCTGAAGGAGGGATCTCTGGATAGCCTGATCGATCTGGAGGAGCCTGCTGCCCCACAGAAAGCGTAAGGGCTTTGATTCAGTCCCCGGCGTTGTGAGCATAACAGCTTTTGTCCTTTTGTTCCCTTTTGTGGTGTTTGAAGTGAGCGTGTGAAGTCAGCACGCCGGGAGATGGGGTTTGGTGGGCACAGCGGAGCTCCAACATCTCTGTAAGCAAATCCAAGCAGCTGTTTTGCTGGCGAGAGTGCCAAGTGAACAGTCTGTGCCGGGGAGGGTGAGAACAGCAGCTCAGCCCTTGGGGTCTGTGGTGCAGGACTCTGTCCTACGGAGGAAGAGCTGTTTGCTTTGCACTTGGAAAAGCCTCCTCCTTACCCCCGTCGCTAATGAGCTGTAAGCGTTCGCGCTCCTTTGATAAATGCTTTCACACCGACTCCTGAGCTCGCTTGCCGAGTGGTGCTGAGGTGGAGGGGAACAACAAAAACCTAACACATCACCCCGTTTTTACAGTGGCTGGGAACACTGGTTGCTTTGAGAGAGAATAAGGTCAGAGCGCAGGAGGCAGAGCTCAGGCTCCCTGCAGAAGCCAGGGGTGTCTATTGCTGCCCTGAACGGATGGTCTTTGCAGACAGGTACCCACAGTTCCACGGCCACGGAAGGTCTCGGGAACGGTGACTGTGCTGACTCTGCTTTCTGTGTCAAACCACACGTCAGCAGATGTAATTGGGGAAAAACAGGCAGCGTGTCTCTCAGGACAAAGTAGTGGGGAAGCGATCTTTGATGTGGAGACCAGCACGGTATCTCCCTGTTTCTGTTAGGAATTGTGTTGAGCTGTGTAAATGTGTGTGTGGCTGGATCTTTTTTTTTTAATGCAAGAACTGGGGTAAAAGGGAGAAGAGGATAAAAAGCTGGAAGTGGCTGAATTGCTTTGCAGAGCAGCCTGATAAATGACACCTTCTGAAGGCATCTCTGCAGCATGTAGCATTACAGGGGAGCACTGGCAAAGCAGGACTTTTCCAGAACCCAACTACTCTTTTTTTTTGGTCTTATTCTTTTTGCTAATGGCTGCATAAGTGACCTTTTCTCTTTGACTGAAGGCTATATTACTGGGGCTGTTATTTCCCTGATTCCTGGCAAACAGAAGTCCCTCTGCCTTGCCCTAGCAGTCTCTGAGCACGATGAGACCTTGCTGCTCCAGCTTTCACTAGCAAAGAACAGGAATTTTGTTCCTAGACTAATGTTCACTTTCCCCTCCTTCCCCTTCAGCCTCTCTCAGACCTTATAATTTTACTGCTCTCTGTGTGAAAAAACTTAATTAGAAACAGATTGGGTTTGAATTTTGGGAGCGCTTAGGGCTTTCTGTTGCCTAGAGCTGGCAAACTCCCAGCACATCTTAGATTGCAATTGCAGAAAAATACCTGGTCCATCAGAATGGCACTGCCAAGCCCTGGGCTGAAGACAGGTACTGATTGAATCTGCTCTTCTGCCTGGCAGCCCTCGCCAGGGTTTTGTAGCCACCAGATCCTCCGTGAAGCGAGGCTGTGTCCCCCTCGCGAGGGGAGCTGCAGCCGCCCAAAGGAAGAGTCGTCTGGGACTCAAAACCTTGAGCCTTGTGAAGATTGCTTTCCTGGAGCCAGCTTGTCTTCTGCCCCTGCCCTCCTCCCACCTGTGCTGCTGCTCCTCACCTCCTCCTCACCATGAGCTAAGCATTGAGGGCTCCACACACGGTGGGGATTCTCCGCGTCCCTTCCCTTTGCCGACAGTGCAGCTTCAGAATAGGTGGCTCTGAGATCTTTTTGGTTGGGAGTTGGAACTGTTTAGGGGGATGTTGCTGTTCCTCTCATGGTACTTGGTTTTCTGTCATCCTTTTGTCAAAGGAGCTTTCTCTTTTTGGTAGGCAACCAGAGAAGGAAATCAAACACGAGCAGTCCTTGAACCAGCCTAGGGCAGAATCCCTGGAGAGAATAGCCAAGGAGCTGGAGGCAGAGCTCGAGCAGGAGAAAATGCATTTATTGCAAGCAAAGAAGGAGAAAATTCAGCAGTTCCGGGAGGAGATGAGGCAGCAGGAGGATGAGGAAGCTGAGAAGCTTCATCAGCAAAAAGAAGAATCCCTCAGGTACTTTCCTTTTAATTTTTTTACACCATCTCCTCCCTGTTCTTCCTCTGAGCCTTTCCCAGCTGCGATTTCACTGCCGGTGGCCACAGGCTTGTGCTGTTACAGGCCACCAGCTTGGAACTGGTGCCGCTCTGCAGAGTTGTGGGTGAAGGAGACATGAACAAGGCTTTAAGGGAGGAGGAAATACTTGGCCCAGCCAATCCTGTGCATGGGGATCTGCGCATCTTGAAAGGAGCAGAGAGCACAGGCTGCCTCGGGGACTCGCTCCCCAATACAGACGTGAGAGCATCTTCCCATCTCCTGCAAGGGGAGCTCTGATCAGTCCACGTGCAGCTTTTGGAGCCCTGGACCTGTCTCTGTGGTTAATCTGGGAAAAGTTTCCCGTTCAGTGCTTGGAGCTTTACCACCTGGCAGATGTTCACATCCTGGGCTAAATGGTAGTAACAGAACTGGAAACTGGAGCATTAGAGGAGATGAGGCGATCCCGGAGGAACTATCTGAAACTCCAGTGCTGTATGTTTTACAGAGGGGCTTCCAAACAAGACTTCAAGGAATAGGACATGGATGTCTGTGTGAAACTCAGCCAGTGCATGAGGATCTGATAGCAATCCAGGGAGGAGAACAGCACTGCGAGCTCTGCCCTCTCCCTGGGGGGATTTTTTTCCTCTCAAGGCTTGTACTTATTTCAGTTGGCCTTGATACCTGTGTTCTTAGCACACCGAGCCAGCCAGAAACAGTATCTTGATGTGAAATGTCATGGGAATGCTGTCTTGGGTGTGAAGGAAGACACAGAAATCACAGCTGAAGGGAAGAATGGCTATGCAGTAATAAAGCAGTAGCATGAAAATACAAAGCTTACAATGTTCTGATGCATCCAGGTACCTTGGCCGGCAGACTGCTTCCATTTAGTAGGAGCTGACTTCATTTACCTGGGGAAAAACACCCGAGTGACACCTGTGATGATGCAGTGCAGTTTAGAAATGTGCCCCAGAAGTTTGGTGCTGGGGGGGCTGCATCTCCCATGCCAGCAGCCAGGTTCTGAGGGCATGGAGGAGAATTAACTGTCTGGAGCCCTGAGAACGCATCACTTGGGCAGGCACAGTTAGTGGGAGCAGCAGCTGATCTACAGGCCTTGGGTAGATGATTTGAAGATATTAAAGCCTTCTGAACCTTTTTTCTTTTTCTTTTTTCTTTTTCTTTTCTGGCTGTTCATTTCTCAGGACTCTAAAAGAAGATTTGGCAAAGGTTTCTGAGGAGGAAGAGTTGCGTGTCAGAAAGGAAGAAACTGAGAGACTCTCAAAGCTGCGAGCCCAAATCGCCTCAGAGACTGAGGCAGAGGAGGAGAAGATAAGGTGAGAAGTTTTACTGCCATCCCTGGGGACATAAATTCTGCTGGTTTGGGAGGGAAGCATCTTGGATGCCACCAGCAACCGCTCGAAGTGGAGGTCCTTGCTGTCCTGAGCCTCCCACAGCTGGTATCCTGCCTTGGTAGCAAGGACGAGGCCCTGGCTATGATGTATGTGCAGGGACAAAACTGCTGGACCTTAAAATGGTGACAGCTCTGCTGCCTCACAGCTGTGGAAATTTTGCTCCATAGGCTGAGAGTACCTAAGTGTCCTGAAGTGGCTGTGATGTTGGACCAGGCACAGCTCCAGGGCACGTAAAGGAAAGAAGTGGCACCTACAAGAATCAGCAGCTTTGAGTGGATGCCTCTGTCCCATGGCTCTCAAAACTTACCTGTCGTTGTTTTGTTTGCACCTGGTTGACAGACAGGTGCCCACCTGACTGCTGTGCTGTTTATTTCCAGCAAACCAAAGCACTAACCTGTGAATCCGTGTGCTCTGTGTGGCTCTCGCTTTCTTCTGGCTTGCCTGTCCTATAGCAGCATCTTCTCTTGGCTTTGGTTCCTAAATGGAGTCCAGTGGTAAAGCACCGACTTCTGACCTGCTTCTCTCTGTGTTCTTCTTGCAAACCTACCAGGGCAGAGCAAGAGGTCACACTGCAGAAACTAAGAGAAGAGTGGGAATCCCGGCAGGTGATGGAGAAGGAGAGCCTGGAGAGGAGGCAGCAGCTTGTTTTGGAGCAAATGAAGCTGGAAATGGAAGAGGCTCAGCAGAAAGAGATGACTGAGCTGGAGCAAGAAAAGGAACAATTCCTGAGTGAGCTCAAGGAGAGACTGGAGAGGGAAAAGAAGCAGGTGAGATCTTTATTGCCAGCTAGTCAGACCCATGCTGTTCATTCTGTCTTGGCTTGCATTGCAATGATAAATTATTGAGATTGCACTTGCATGTGCTTTAACAATGACTTAAAACATAAAGGGAAGATGCTAGGGATGCTGCTAGAGGCGTGATTGAGCTGGGGAGAAGTCCTCCCTCAACTTTTGTTACAATGGTGATTAAATAACAATTATTTAAATGCCCACATTGCATCTGAAGAAAAGCAAAAGATGACTGTGTGTCTGTGCCAAGCTAAACCAAGCCATTTTATCAGCTCAGAATACCTCGTTGGCAGTTGCTGCAGTCCTCCAGAGAGCCTGGGGAGTTCTTGGATGGAGGCACTTCCTAGTCCTTCCAGCACACCGTGATTGAGATCTGTTGGGATCCCCTGAGGGGGGGAAAGCACATAGGGAGTAAAGGCGCCTTGTATGTAATCCAGTCTGCAAGGGGCTTACTGCTGTGCTTTTTTGGTGCTTATGGTTAGATGTTAAATGCATCCTGTGCAGCCTGTCCCCAGACATAGAGCTTTTCCAGCAGGTTTTCTTGCTCTTGTTCCTGTAGGCAGCAGAAGAACTAGAGAAACAGTTTGCAACTGAACTCCAGCAGCTGAAATCTGCAGCAGAAGAGAAGCATCGTAAGGTAAAAGATGGTGTCCTTAGAATGTAAATTGTTTTTTCCCCACACTGTCACCAAAGGTGGCCAGGGAGGGTGGCATTCATGTTTTTTCCCACTTCCTAAACGTGGTTCTGTTCTAGCTCAGCACTTGGACATGCTCCAAGCAGGGGGTGGTGAGACTGCACACACTGGTCTCTGCCATGCTGCTTGCTCTCTGTAGGAGGGCACTAAATGGATCTTGTCAGAAGGGTGACAAGTCTCTGTGGGTGGCTTTCATGGCAGGTCATTTCCAGCCTGCAAACCCAGATAGCAGAGGCACAGAGGAGTGAGGAGGCTCGGCTGCGTGACGACTTGCAGAAAGCAGAGCACAAAGTACAGCAAAAAGCGTTTCAAGTAACAGAATACGAGCGTGAGGTGAGTATTCATCTTGGATTGCTGAAGCTTGGTCACCCTCTGTCCTTGGATGCCTGGTGAGGTCTGAGAGGCCACGTCCCCTGCCCAGGGGTGACAGTGATGCCTTGGGGGAAAGGACACCTCTGCAGCATCTCACTTCACCAGGGTGCTTGCCTTATACTCTGAACTTCAGTCCTTCTGCTTGTGTCAGAGGCTGATCTCTTGGGGGCTGCTGTAGGGCAGGGAAACATCTTTCCATGTCATCCCTGCAGCTCAGCGAGCTTATGAGAGAGAAACGCCAGGAAGTGGAAAGAGACCACGAGAGGAAAATGGAGAGGATGAGAGAGGAGCACCGGGAGGTCCTGGCACGGATTCGGGATCAGTACGTGGAGGAGGTACTGCTGGGGGAGAGCAGTGACTCTGGGAGGCATCTGTAGTGGCTCGTTCGACACGTCTGTCCCTGGGCTGGCACTGCTGCTCGCCTGACCTGCCTGTCTCAGCCTCTCCTAGAACTGGAAGTCTCCTTCTTGGAGCACTGGCCATTGCTGCCATGATGTGAAATGGATTTAGGCTGGGGTTGTAAGGATAAGCTGTGAGAATATGCTCTGTGCAGGCAACTTCCAGAAGTGTTTGGGTTTCTCTATGGGAGAAGATTGTTGACATTTTTGCAGGTGCCTGTTCTGCAAAGCCTTCTGCCTCCCGTTGTTGACGATACAGTCAGCAGTGTGTGACAAAACCTTAGTTCTGTGGGTTGTTTCTTCTTTCTTGAGCCATTCCCTTAATGTCCCTGAAAGCAAGAGGTTTTCATCTGCTGAACTCAGTGTTTGCTCAGGAGCTGCTGTGGGACAGGCTGGCTTTCCAGAGGATGTCCTGTGTGTTCATGTTGGCTTGCTGGAGAACCTCATGCTTCACCCAGCTGCTTCTCATTGTGTTTTGCAACAAACAGGAGCGAAAGCAAAGAGCAGAGCTGCTTGAAGGCCTGCAGAGTGAGATGGCACACCTCCGAAAGCGTCACGAAGCGGAGCTGAAAGCTCTGCAGGCTGAGCTGGACGAGCGGCTCGCTGCGCTGCAGCAGAGGCACAGGGAGAAGGTGAGGAGCAGGCTTTGCCGAGCAGGTCACTGTGACTTGGCTGCTTGGGGATGGCCTGGGTGCCCCTGTCACCCTCTGCAGCCCAGGGTGACACAAGTGGCAGGTCACACTTTCCTGGTTTTGGTTGTTTCTCCTGGTGGCAGAGCTCTGCCTGCTGAGCGAGGAACTTGTGCCAGTCTCTCTGTAACTCCCATCTCTGTGCAGGAAAGAAAACTCCAGGATTCGGAAAATGAGCTTGAAACGCGCACGAGGAACATCAAAGCCAGATCAGCACAGCTCCTTAGCCAGGTGAGTCAGCCCTGTCGCGCTCACAGAGGTGTCCTGCCTGGGCTGCTCCTCTGGCTGCTTCCTCCTGTGGGACTTCTCTGAGGTGCTCAGCCAGGGCTTTTGCTGGATAACTTCAGTCATGAGTCAGAGCAGGGCTAAGCACTCCTCGTGGTGCTGCTGATGTTTGCAGTGGAAGTCAGTGCTCTGGGTTTGCTCAGTGTTTTAGGCAACAGTAAGTGGCATAAGAGTGACAGAGGGATTATAAAAGCCTTCCAAGGCATCATGTCCTGCTCAGCATCGCTTAGGATCTTAGTCAATCCCTTCCTGACTTACCTCATCTTCTCCCTGCTGCTGTGAAAAGGGAATGGGTGTTTCTGGATCTTGGGCAGCAGAGCGGGAGAGGGAAGCACTCCAAATGCTCCTGCGGAGCTGGCAAACATCACTGGCTGATACTCTTGCCTGCCAGATCTCCCAAGTCCTGGCCTGTGCCAAGGGCTGTAGATAACCTTGCTGCTGTCAGCCTTTCCTTTCCAAGCAGCACTGGAGCGAGGAAGTAAAAATGTGGAGAAATGCTGGAGGCAACCAGAGGCTTCACAAGAGCAAGATCCTGCAGGAAGGGCCATGTGCCATGAATACTCTTTGCAGCTGGGCAGGAAGGGGTGTTCTTCCCACAGGAACACAAATACTCCAGCTTCTCACTTGAAGCCAGATAAAGGGAGGGGAACCTGTGTGTGGTGGGGTGGGGGGGTAAAGCAAAACTGACAAGAGTCCTCAGGTATTTTGAAATGATCTTGAGACTTGGGCCTGACCTCTGTACTTCAAATGCTGCTCCTTGCTCTGACACTCACCTGCTTTCTCGCCTGTATGTAGGAGGAGTCTCTGCGAAAGAAGAGACAACAGCTGCTGGATGAAGACAGGCAGGCTGAGCTAGAGAGAGAGGTATGTGTGCCTTGGCTGTGGGGAGCTGCTATGCTGCCTTTGGGGCTGAGGGGACCACACTCAGCTGGGGATTTAAAAAAGCAAACTGTTGCTTCTAAATTGTGAGTGTGAAAATCCTTCCCTGCCTCAGCCTGGAGTGGCATCCTGCTGGGGTTTGGTCAGCTCTGAGCTGATTGCCAGGAGACAGTCCTGTTCTTCAGGATTGGTGTGTGGTGTGTGTGTTTGTAGCTCCAGGTCCTCCTGTGAATTGTGCAGGTAGCAAGTCTCTTGTCTCTCGTGTGCTTTCACTCTGGTATTGGGGAAATTACTGTGAGGGGTTTATTGTTTTTCTTTCAGGAAGCTGCTTTAGCTTCTCAGCTGCGCCTAGAGGAGAACAGGAAGGAGCATGCTAGCCTCCTCGAGTCCATCCACCAACTGCGCAGGTCTCTTGAAGAGCTCCAGGACCAGAAAGCCCAACTCGAGGCCCAAGTGGACTTGTTACAGACCCGAAGCCAGAGGCTGCAGAAATACATCAGGTGTGTGGAGGAGAAATTTTCTCTAATGGAAACAATTCTTGTGTTGGGCCATATTCCTTCAGAATCCTCATGGTGGTTTTACTGCATGCCAAGGGCGTGGAGGTCCTGGGTCCTGCTTCCAGATCTGTCAGGAACTTGCTGTGAAAATCTGTCCCTTCACCTCTGCTTGTCAGGTTCACTTGTTTGTCTTCTCCACATCTGTCTTGTGAGGTGAATAAAATGCTTCAGGAGGGGCAGTAAAATGCAAAGAAAAGATTTTCCAGAGATAGCTGAGCTTCTGGGTGAGGGCTTGCTCAACTCGGCTGTTTCCCTGCCTAGCCAGAGGTTATTCTTGACATCACACCAGAGACCTGATACTGGTGTAGTCTTGAACATCTGTGGCTGTTTCCCGCCTGGAAACTGGAGACCAGTTTGGATACCATTGTGGGTAGGTTACTGGTTAATGGACCTGCAGTCTAATCAAGTGCTGCTGCTGTTGTCTTTTCTTGTGGCAGTGAGCTGGAGACGGCTGTCAGGAGAAAACAGGAGACTTTGAAAGAACTGGAGGCAGAAGAAAGTGTGGAATCTCCAAGAGAGAAAGCTGAGCTCCATGTTGAAGACCTGAGAGAAACTATTCAAGCTGTGAGTAAAGCAGACAGTAAAAGTGTTTGTCTTGTGAGATCTGAAGCTGAACTTTCTTGAAAAATCCTGGCTTTGGCTCCTTCTGTGTGAACTCATTTGAGATGCAGGGATGCATTTTTCTCTGCCAGAGGACATGGAAATGTTTTGTAATCTCTGTCAATTTCTGTTTATTATTACTGGGGGGAAAGGAGTGTGGGATACCTGAGTGCCCTTGGAGTTGAAAGCAGGGCTTGAGTCAGGGCTAGAGGTGTCTTTTACTTTTTAAAAAGTCACAGAACATCCCTGGTGCTGGTCTTTGGTCTGGGCAATATCATGGTGATGTCATTCTGAATTTTTGCTCCTAATTGGGTTCCTCTGGGGTCCTGAGGTTCTGTTTCCCGTACGTATTTCTCAGTTTTTGAAATGTTTCAACTCCTCAGCACTCGTCCAGAGAGCCTACTTCCCCACCCTTGCAAAGCCAAGAGGACAGCAACTACCAGTTTGATCAGTGAGTATCTGTATCCCAGCCACTTCTGGAAGATGGTTTTGCTTTGATTTTTACCAGCAAATATTTTGGGTTGGGTTTATGTGCATTACACTGACACTCTGTTATTGGGAGGGTGCTGCATGAGGCTTGCAGGATGACCCAGGCAGGACAAAGCCAGGACAAATGTCTGTCTCTTTGGTGTAGTGTCCGGAGCTACATCTCTGCAGAAGGGATCTCCATCAAGAATGCCAAGGAGTTCCTGGTGCGCCAGACCCTCTCCATGAGGAAGAGGCACATGGCTCTGAAAGCTGCAAAGCAGCAGTGGCGTCAAGACATGCAGGATGCACAGGAGAAGGTGCAGGATCCTGAGAGCTCCCAGCTCCTGGAGGGCATGCGCAAGAACCTGGAGGAGGTGAGACTGAGTGCTGCCTGTGCTCAGATGTTGGGCATCGTGGCTGCACAAGTGAATCCACAGCCCTGGGGTCGATTCCTGGCTCTGCAGGTGCAGTGACAGTCAGCTGTGGTGTTCAGTCCTCCTGGGAATCAGATCTTGCATGTCATTTATGATAGATGTGCAGCCTTCGTCCCTGCTTGTGCTTTCCTCAGCAGAACACGAGGGTTATAGTCCTTCCCCTCTCAGAGTGACCATAGGGATTACCTCAGGAAGGTGAAGAGAGCTGTTCAGGAATACAGTGCAAATGCAGTATCTAAGGAACAGGCTTAATGAGAACCTGACTTAGGCTTTGGATCATGGTGATCAGGCGAGCAGCCGAGAGCGCCTGCACATGCACGCACAGCCCACAGCTAACAGCATCGCACGGCAGGACAGCTCCAGTTCTGTTTCACTCCCTGTTCTTTGCACCAGGAAGGAGCTATGAAGCGGTCGCTGCAGTGTGGCCAGTGCTCAGCAGCGTGCTAGGACTGCAGGTGCTTGATCATCACTTGGAGGTCTTGGGACCTTAAAAATGGAGAAAGTATTTGGTGGGGGAAAAAGGGATTCCTGTACCGTGCAAATCCTGTAACACGTTCTCATAGCAAAGGGAGTGAGCAGTATCCATCCCATCAGTACCTACGAGTTTATGGTTGTAGCTCTACAGTGATTTCACTCTTGGAACCTCCTTTTCCTTGGGGTGAACTTGCTTCAAGGCATGTGCTCTGCTCTCTGTATGCTCCACTTCCCATGCTCTCGAAGCCTTAGGAGCAGTTCTACTCCAGCAGCACGATTTCCTGTGCTGAGTAGAAGTGAGATAAAGAAATGACCACTAACATAGATTATTTCCTGTCATTCTTGTTTAATTTTCCTCCTTGGCTTGGCTGTTGATCCACTGCAGGAAGCAAAGCAGTTGGACAAGATTAAGTCGGCTATGCGGAAAGGGCAGGTGCTGCTGAAGAAGAAAGAAGAGAAACTAAGCCAGCTGGAGTCCTCGCTGATGGAGGAGGTAACCACCAGCATCCCTCTTGCTTGTGCCTGCCCAGAACTCTCAGCCTCCTCACCTAGGCTGGGGTCTCTGCAGGGCTTCTGGTCCCTGTGAGGGCTGTTCAGCTGGTGGCCAAAGACACGTTTGCCAGCGAAGCTGGAGTTTAGAAGCACATTCTCCGAGAGCAGAATGGTGTGTCTGTTTGAGAATGCTGGGAGAGAAGGCTAGTCACAGAGTTGGAGAGAAGGACAAAGCTAATTGCACTGCAGCCCCTGTGATTCACTAGATCTGCAGCCAACAGCACCCAGCCCATGCGAGAGCTTTGAGGCTTAATTAAAGCAAAAAGCACTTTAACTTCTGCCTAAAGGCCGTTCACATGGCTGTTAGATTTGGCCTCTAGCACACGCAGGTGCTTCTTCCCGTGACCAAGCAGCCCCTGGACCTTCAGTCTCGCTGTCAGGGACTGAAGATGAGTCTGCCTTCGCCTGGCCTGCGCCTGACTCTGCAGTCCAGCCTGTGTGGACTGGCTGTAGGCAGCATCCAGTGGCTTTTATGTTTCAGGGACAGAACAGTGGTTTTTAGTTGCATTGTTTTCCTTCTTTTGACCAGCTTTCAGATGAAGATACGCTGAGGAGCGCTGCGTGCAAGAAGATGGTGACTTTTGATCTCAGCAGCTCTGAGGACACAAACAGCACTTCCAGTGTAAATCTAAATCTGCCTAAATGTAAGTGCCTGGCCAGCTTGATAGGCTGTGCCCAGTTATAATGCTTTAGACCTCGTTCTGGCTTTCCCCTTTGCCTCTCAGATCTACTTTTGTCGCTCTCCCTTGTGTTCATTAGCACCTAAGGCAGGTCTGCTCTCTGGGACTGGGACTGCTCTGGGTATAACATTTGATCTGAAAAACTTATTTCCTGCCTGTAGTGGCAGATGAAAGGGATGGATTCTGTGCATGAACTCGCCTTTTAAATCTCTACCTTTGTTTTTAGAGCTGATTATGAAATCTGGCTTCTGCTGTTCCCCCTCTGCTGATGCAGAGCTGTGTTACCCTTTACAGGGCACAGCAGAACTCAGAGGGATGGAGCAGGGAGGTGAAGCACACACTAATGCGTATCCAGGCTTGTCCTGCACGCCCCATTCTTGCAGCATTGGAGGGTCTTGTCCTTGCTCTCAGGGTTCTCCTCCACTTTGTGCCTAAGCAGCCTCCAAGGCACAAATCCCTGTTGTCAGTCTGTATCTCCACTCCTGGCTGCAAAGCCTGGTTTCTGTCTCTATCCCACTTAGCACAGACTGATCAGACTCAGCTCGGAGCATAACACCAGTGGGAAACCTCCTGCCAGGGAAGCAGCATCTCCCTCGCCTTCCCAGTGATCCCTTCTTTCCTCTCTCCTGTGCCAGTTGATTTGGGGACCGATTTACAGCCTGCCCCACAACAGGACAAGATCCAGTACTTGACAGTCTCTCTGCAGCGGATCACTAATGAAATGAACGGGGTCCTCAACGTCTTGAGCTCTCTAAACAGTCACCAGTCTCCACTCTTTGCCCTGACGCCCTGCAGCGGTGTCCCGGTCTCTACGTATGCCTCCTTGGCAGGACATCAGGCAGGTGCCTCCTTGGTGCCCCCCGCCGGGGTGGACTCATGGGCCTGGAACACTGGGCTGAGCTCTAGCAGCTCTTTCACAGCTGGACAGTCAGTGGACAACATCCTGGCAGAGAAATGGCACAAGTATTTCCCAGGTAGGTCTCCTGTCTGTAATCCATCTGCTTGCTTGCCCATGACTTTTGATTTCAAAGCCCTGCAAGCTCTAAGCTGCTTACCCTTCCAGTGCTGGTCAGGCCAGATCCACTGGTGCTGCTGTTAGGAAGGGTGATAATGAGATAAGGAGTGAGGAAAAGCTTTTCTTATTCCAGGAAGTGCAGCATATGGCTGATGTTGTCATCTTGCTTCTGGAGCAGTTCAGCCTTTAGTGTACACCCCAGAAAGCAGCTCTTAAAGAAGGGAGCAGAGGAGGAGCCAGCCCTGCTTCACTGGAACCTCCTGTGAATTGCAGAGGGGGTTCACCAGCTCGGTCCTTACCCCCACTCGGTCCTTGGCAGGTGGCTCAGCTTGTAGGGACAGTGTATCTGCAGTACAAGAAAGCAAATGCACCCAGGTGCATAGACTGTCGTTTTTGGGGGGGCCTGTACTTAATGTCTGTTTTCTAGGTGGATTCCCATCGCTCAGTGGCAATTCCAGGCCTCTGGACAACAAGCTGGGCTACGTACCTGCAGAGTAAGGGTCTCGAGTTGTTGTTTCATTGGGCTTTTATTGCTCTTTCATTGCTTTTATTTCTCTGGAATGATTTATAGGTCCCATTTCATATCCCAAGGAAGTAACAAAATTCTAAATTAGATATAATTACTGAGCAGACATGTTAGATACTATTAGTTATTCCTTGCCACGCGCTCAGAACCATCTTGTAGCTCCTACAGTGAGGCTGCTGTCACCACTGTGCTGACAACCCTCGTCCTAGGACCTTGGTCCATGGGTGCTTCCAGCCCTGGGCCATGCTAGCTCTGCCGTGGTGAGGTGTGGGTGGGTGGGCTGCAGGCTGCCACCCAAACCTTTCTGGTGCTCTACAGACAAACAGGACAGCAGTGGCTGCTGACAAGTGGCTGCTGCAGCTTTTCTCTTTGGTGTGGTTGGCAGAGGGCTTTGAGCCAAGAGGAGAGCTGGCTTTTGGTTAACCATCATTTTCTCTGTCATCTCGGGGATGGTTTCTGCCTGCACCTCTCTTTCCCACTTGTGCTGTCTCTTTCTCTCATGCAACAGAGAGCAGATACGGCTGTTCCAGCACTCCCAGTTCCAGAGCCGTGAGTCAGACAAGATGAGTATTCAAGCAATGATTGAGAGCAACAAGAAATGGCTAGAAGAGTTCAAGAGGGATTCACAAGTGTATCCTTTTCCTGGGTCTAGTCTTTCACTGCACTCCAGCTTCCCGCACCAGGTAGGAGGAGACAGCAGGGGATGAGTGAGTCAGGAGCACTAAAGCACTGAACAGCAATTTCCAAGCCTCTGTTTTAGTGTCCAGTTCTGCAAAGGGACACAGTGTTTAGCAGTTAGAGCACGAGTGACCTCTTTGCTCTTCTTTGAGCTGTACTTGACCGAGACAGTCTCTTCCCTTTCCCCAGTTGTGCTGTGATGCTCTTCAGTGCCACTGCTCTGCCACAATACACAGCAGTTGGAGCTGGTAATGTGAGAATTTAAAATAAATAATAATAAATTAACCAAAGAGTGGAGAATGGAGGAAGCGAGAGGGAAGGAGGGGGCCTGGGCTGGTGGGGCTGCTTTTGCTGCATCGGGGGCTTCACTATGGGCTGTCCCTGCTGAGCAGCTGGGCATGAGGGAGCCGTGTCTCTGAGATGAGGGTGTCTGGAGACACGTGGGGCAGCCGCGTGGCTGGGCAGCGAGGGCTGGGGCTCTCCTCCAGCTCGTTGTAGCACGTGGTTGGACCCAAGGAGCGAGAGCTGTCGGCGCCGCTAGCGGGGACGTTCCCAGTTCGCGTTGTAACGGCATTACGCCGGGGCTGTCGGTGTCTCCTCTGCAGCGTGCGCTGATATCGGCAGCAAATCCCTTGGGCCTCTGATAGCACAAGCTATCCTGAGCCCCACGCTCCTTTGACTCCCTTAATCCCCCTCTAATTCCATTTGACTTGGATGCAGCAGGCTAAATAAAGGCTAAATAGAGCACGTGTGTGCAAGGCTGGCTGCTGCCCCTCAGTACCCGCCCTGTGCTCGTGCGTGCTAATCCCTTCTGTAAGCCAGGCTTTTCCTTCACCCAGCTGCCAGACCTCTCTTCCCAGGTGCACAGAAGCCCCCTGCCAGCAGCCCCAGCCTACTTCAGCTAGGACTGGATGAGAACAGACAAATCAAAGTGTACCGTTACTGAAAGGTGGGACTTGGCTCTGCAGAGATGGTGGCTGGGGCCCGGGCGGTCTCCCTAACGCTACGTTGGGTTTCGGTGCTGCCCAGCCATCTCCACTGTGTCTTTGTGCTGTGCCCTTGAAATGGAGTCTCTTTAGAAGAGAGTGGTGGAAGGAGGAAGTGAACTTCCCAGGTGGATTCTTCTAATCCTGTAATATGTCCAAATATACTTGATAGACTGTTTAATCCAGTGGTGAAATACCAGGGCTTCAATAAATCAACAGTTCTCTCATTAGTATTCTAGCGCTCGTGAGCCAGAGCTGTGAATCATGGAGGACTCGGAGTAACTGGTCAGGGGGAAGGACGTGAATCCAGCTGAGACTTGGCTGGAGGAAAAGTGCTGGGAAATGAGCCCACACTCATGCCAGCAAATGCTTAATTGCAGATGGGCCAGGGGAGAGTGACCAGTGAAACGAGTCTGGGGACAGAACTGGGGAGTGGCACCTTCTGACTCCTGGGGAATGTTCCTCTCTTTTGGGGTGGAAGCAATAGAAATAGGGGTGGCTTTTCATGAGAGTTACTCTGGAAAAGCATTCCCTGCTTCCTCCTTTCTGCCCCACTGGCCAAAGCTGTGCCACGTAGCTGTGCTGACGGGAACTCTTCTGCATTACAGATGTGCCGATGGCAATGTGGGGCAGGGACAGCAAGAGTGTGGGGTGGTGGCTGCTGCTGCAGGCACTGCTGAGGAGCTCAGCCTAGTGGGAATGTCGAGACAAAACCCCACCTGAGCCCGGGGGAGAGGAGCAGAGCTCAGCTCAGCAGCTGGGGTCTCACTGCAGGGCTGGGGAGGGACCTGAGCCCTTGGTGCCCAGCCTGGAGCCTGGCTGTGTGCTCCTGCTGCTGGGCTCCTGGGAGAGATGGTCCAAGAGACTGTGAAATGGGCTCTGCAGGGCTGGGAACACAGCCAGGGCATTGGGGTGCCTGGCTGGGGCATTGGGGTGCCTGGTTGGGGCGTTGGGGTGCATGGCCAGGGCATTAGGACGTGCAGATCTCAGACCTCAGCTGCCAGCTTGTCGCTTTGCTCGGCGGGTGGCTGTGGTGGTGTTCCCCTGGAGAGGCTGGATCCAGAACACGTCACCACCCCACTGGGATGCAGGGAGCTGGGAGGGGGCAGATGGTGCTGCGCTAACCAGGAGGGAGAACTCGGGCCAGGCTTTCCCATTGCTGAGTGGGAACTGTGGTATTTGGTTCTCTTAGTCAGTATTTCCTCCAAGCTCACTTTAAATATTTTATGCTTTAAAAAACCGCTGAACCAAAATTTGTCTGATGAAGAAGTCTGCGTTTCAAGGGATCCCATCTGTGAGAAATCCTCTTCAAAGCCGTTCTCTCCTGAGCTGGCTGACGCAGGGAGGGTGGTGAAGCTGCTGCTCTGCACCCTTTTGTGCTGCTCCTGTTCCTCGGTGTGGCTAATGATGTGCAGCAGAGTAAAGCAGAGCCCCCTCCTGCTCTGCTTCCCGGGTGCTTTGTACTGGCACAACACTGCAACAGCTCACCCCGAGCCTGGCAGGGGAAGGTTTACATCCAAATAGAAAACTACTTTTGATGAATATCATTTTAAAACTCTTAAGAATGTCTGTATTTCTTTTTTGCTGATTTTATTAGATTTATTTTTTTTTAATTACTCAGCCAGCCTTTGTCCTAGGACAGCTTGATGGTCAGGTCCTTTTCCTCCCACCAGTGGGAGTAGTGCAGGGTAGCCCTTCTGCAGGCACTGCCAGTAGAGAACATCCCACTGGTGTCCTTGCTGAAGCCATGCTGGCTCTGGCTGAATGGGGAGACCTCGGGTGTCTGCACGGAGGAGCCCCTCTCTGGGAAGGGATGGATCAGATGCAACTTTCCCATCGACTGTCGGATTTCACCGCTCCCTGCCTGCAGGGATTGTGCTTTTTGTTTCCTGGCTGTTGGTGGGAGCCATGGCAGTCCTTCCAGTTGGGTGCTTTAGAAGGGACCCTGTGGTTCTGGCTCTTCCATAGCATGGGCAGACTGAGCCTGGTGGCTGCTGAGCCCAAAGCCACGTCGCTGAGTCCAGCCTGTGTGTTCAGAGAAGCGTGTGTCGGTAGCTCAGAGAAATGCTCGTTTCCTTAGCAATAACTTGGTTCAAACGTGTTCCTTTCTCCCGTTAAAACCCGGGGTAGCAGCTGTATCTGGGTTTGTACACAAATTAAATCAACACGAGCCTGTTTTGTACGATGACGCTTGTAGCTCTGTTTTTCTCTTGTTGAGATGTTCCGTTGTGGCCCTGGATATCCAGCTCGTACTTACCTTTCACATCTTCCCCTCGCCGCTCTCCAGGCTGTTTCATGTTTTGTCTTGTCAAGGTCACTTCTGGCAATTTCCAAGACCACTTCAGCTCACTGTGGCTTTACCATTATTCTATTAAGTGTCTGGCCAGGGTAGTAAATGCAGGGGCAGATAGAAAGCTAAAACACAAAGCTACAAAAGCCATTCTTCACGGGGCTTTCAGCCAGCTTTTCATGGGCTCGTATCCTGCCCTTTTCATAACGCCATCGTCTGGCCCCATTACAAGGTGGTCTCGCTCTGGAGCTCTGTGTCAAGGCTGGAGGAACAATCCAAGACCGGCTCAGTGGGTGCCTGGGGAGGGGCTGCCTGCAGGGTGGGCGAGGGTGCCTGTGGAGCTCTCCCTGGGAAACAGGAGATGTGGTGTGCTGGTGGGGAGCAGGGCTTTGCTCCAGAGTTGCTGCTCTCCGCAGCTTGGGCTGTGTTACATCTGCTGACTCTGCGGATGGGCTGTTGTGCTGATTTCTCCATTTATTTCGGAGCAGGGGTGAATTTCCCCCCCAGTGGTGTTGTAGGTGCTGTGCCACAGCAGCGTGCTCACCAGAGATCGGGCAGCATTGGTGATGTGCTTTTCTTTTCCCATGGCTTGTTCCTTTCCCCTTCTCACCTCCTCCCAGCAGCCCTGGGACACCCACAGCAGCCCTTCCCAGCTGTGTGTGCTGGCTCCTGTGGGATTTTTCCCTGTAAGGTGGTCTCTCGTGAAAGATTCAGCTTGTCCCGTGTCTCCCAGCACTGCCTCTGTCCAAATGGGGTGATTGCCACGTGTCCTGGCTGGGGACTCTCCAGTGCTGAGAGTCTGCAGATGTGTAACATGGACAGCGATGGTGGGACAGGGGAGATTCAACCTCTGCCCTGACTTTTCCAGCTCTGATGCTCCTGCACAGTGCATTGCTCGCTGGAAACCCGGGGTTCAGATGGTTGGGGATGCAGGGACTCCGGGTTGATCATAACATGGTTTGAGCTACTGGTACAACAGGAAAGCCAAACGTGGTGTGAGGCTGTGTGAGGCAGCAGGGATGTGCAGGGACTGGGATGCTGCTGCACACAGTTGTGCTCTGCCCGTGGAGGGAGGGAGGGCTGGAAGGAAGGAAGGAGTGTGGTTGCTGCTGCACATGCTGGGCAGAGAGGAGAGCTGCTGGAGCTGGAGGACTGAGAGGCACAGGAAACACAGTATGTAGCTCAGCTGGCTGTGCAGAAATGGGGGCTGATAGATGCACATCCTTCCAAACAAAAACCACCGCCAAACCTTGAATCACCCAAGTTCTTGCTGCGCATGATCTGCCTGCTGGAGAGCCACAGGAAGAACTGCTGGGGGAGGTCTCTGATGGAGACACACGTTGTCCAGGTAGGCATTTTTGGGGACAGGTCCCATACCCTGCTCCTGAGGCAGCTGCTGTGCAAAGAGCACAGGCTGGCTTTGGGAAATCCAGAGTCCCAGCTGAACGGGAGATGCCTTCTGGGAATGAGAGGCTTTGCTGTAGTCCTGCTGAGCAGCAGCCTGAGCAGAGGAGGTGTCCCCCAGCTCGTGGGTCTGAGGAGTGGGGTGTGTGCAGGTGTCTCTGCGTGTGTCCGTAGAGAAGAGGATTGGCTTTTCCTGGAATGCCAGTGCTGTGTATGCTGGAGACACTTGGTGATTAGAAGAGCAAAAGGACAGCGCACGATGACTCTGCCAAGGGGAACGTGAGCCATAAGCTCATTAAGGGGCTTGGAGCCTGTGGGCTGGAGCCGGGACCTGGCAGTCGCTGGCTGTTCAGAGGTCGCTGTGAGTCGCTCCCAGAGCTTTGAGGTCCCGGAGCAGCGGGAGCCCCTCGGAGACCCCAGCCATGCTGGGCACCCTGATGACAGCGCTGTTCTTTGTGGTGAGAGCGTTTGGACAGGTGAGTCTGGGCTGGCCTGGCAGCAGGTAGGATTTAACGCTTTCTGGTTTGTTTCTAGAAGCATGTGGGTTATCTTATTTGAGAAGGTGGCGAGCAGAGTGGGCTGGGGATGCCCCAGTTCCGGCTCCAGCATAGCTGTGGCTGTGCCATGAAGCCCTGCAGCGATGAGGAGACCCCTGGGCAGGTCTGTGTGTCCTCAGCAAGTTGCACGTGGTGCTGGCTTGGGAGTGCATTTGAGTTTTTGTCCCAGAAACATTAGCAGAGGTCAGTTCCCTCGTGTGTCCCTGCACACAGGAAGCCAGTGCAGGCACTCAGGCTTCCCAGTCTGGGGAAAAAGTGCTGCGAGTGTGCGCGTTGGGTCTTGGAGCACCTGGGGTTGGAGAGGAAGAAAAACGCACCGTGGGCTGTGACCACTGGTGATGCACATGGAGGAGCAGCTCTTCTTACTCCTCCTCTGCTTCTCTCCTGTCCTCTTACCTGCTGCAAACCCCTTCTGTGTGCAGCTCGGGACCAGCCTGTTCCATGAAGAGCCGCTGCCGTACCTCGTGTACCAGCCCCTGCCCTGGCAGGTTCAGTGTGTGACCCAGAGCCGCCGCACCAGCCGGGACAGCGAGGTGAGGGCTGGTGGCTTCGTGTCTGCTCAGCCAAGGCCCCTGGCTGGGGAGGGGACAGTGCCTGGTGCAGCAGCAGCAGCACACATCTCTCAACCAAACGGGCTGCTCGGAGCACGAGGCTTGGGCAAGGCAGGGACAGATTTTTCTCTCTCCCTTGAAAGACAGAAAATAGGATA